TTTTTGTTTTTAGTAGTGGTTATGATATTTGTGGTTTACTGAGTGAGAGTATCGTTTTATTTAACATTGTCTATGCTAGCAAATTTGAAAAGCTATATATGGGGCAAATTAAATTGCTTCGGACACTTCACTAAAGGAATCACTTCTTGTATACTAGTGAAGATCTACCCTTCTGCGAATACAGGAGCAAGTCGGCTGAAACGACCGGCTAGCTCTGCCTAGCACATGTGTATTTGACTTTTACTTTACAAAGAGCTAAAGTACACAGCCATGTCAGGTTGTATTTGTCGCATTTGGATGCGTTGGTGTTTAATTTTTTAAAATAGGGAAGTGATATTGACGCTGCTATTCTGATGATGGTGTGTGACTTGAAAACGGAGTACACGCTTGATTTAAACATCAGGAGTAATAGATTCAAGCTTTTTTGGTGGGGATGGCATGAAATGTTTAGTTGGATGCTAACATTGCTGTTGCATACAATCCACTGACGCAGACATGCTTCTAAAATTGATTCTTGTTTATTGAGTTCATTTAATTGGCAGGGTTTCGGTTTTCTTTTGAAAAGTGATTTATGCATTTTATTTCTTAGACAGTTCTAAGGTTTACTTTCGTTGCCATTGTTGCTGTTACTAAATCTGCTCTGGCCCCCATTACGTGTATTTTTTCCTGTGAAAAAAATTTATTTAATCGGTCGAAAAAAGATCTTTTTTACTTTGTTTAAAATAAGATGAACTTAGAACTGGAAGAACGATCTAGTTCGTTATTCTATACGTCAGGAAAAGAAGGACAAGAGAAGCGAAAGATTTTTTGCGATTGTCATTGTAGATCTTTTTTATAATTTAATACTTTAGATTGCATTTTTTTCCTTTTCTTTTTTATTTGACTGCTTATTTAAATGCTTTTAAATATTGCTTTTTTTAGCAGAATTACTAGTTGCAGAATAATGTGATTCTTTTTTTTGATCTTATAAATGAAATCAGCAGTAAATTGAAACAGAATACCTTGCAAATACCATCGCGAAATGAATAACCCAGTTTTGCTTTGTCTGTTAAAGTACTTCATGTATAATTTTGACGTCTTAATTGTGGTAAAGTAATTTTCGAAGAGAAGAAAAATTGACAATTAGTAATAGAGAAATGAAAAACAATAAAAAAAAAAAATTTTAAACTGTTTTAAATATTTGATAATTTTTTTCAAATAAACAATAAAACTGATTGATGTTCTCTGCAAAAGACGGCAGTGATATAGTTGCAGTAAAAAATACTGCAAAAGTAAACAATAAATTAATAAAGTAAATGCTATTAGAAGAAGAGCTTTTTTTTTTGTTTCTTACAATTTGACTTGTTGAATTAGAAATTTGAGAATCCCTTTTACTTTTAATGACATTATAGACAGCGGTTTCTAGAAATGTTTCCGGATGTTTGAAAATTCTCAGTTACTTTTTAAAAGCAATCTTTATTTTGGAGATTCCTTGAATATCGCTGTTAAAACTAGAGAGGAAGTTAAGATGGCGGAAATGGACTTATGACGACAATTGAAGCTGTAACCGCTGCAGCGCCTATTCTTTCTTCCGTTAATCATTACCATATTTTGTCATAGTTATTATCTGTTTTGCCCTGGTTTTGTTCTTCTTAACTCGTCTTTTTCTTTTGTTCCTTTTTTTCTTCTTATGGTTTCAATGAACAAAAAATACTTTTTGTTTTAATTCTTATGAAAACTGTTGTACAGTTATAGGTGACAACTACAGATGTCGGAATGAAACATAAGCTGTTGTTTGATTTATAAATTTTTCTTCTATTTTTATTTATCTTAGAATTCTTCGGTCACAAACATACATTTTTCTCTTCAATTTTTTGAAGAATGAAGAGTGGACATTTTATTTTAGAAATAAATGGCTGTTTTTTATTTTTGTTACAAGATGGTCATTGGAACTTTGATTTCCTAACAAATATTTGTCGTCGTTTTTTTTTTGACT